AATCCTTTGGTTCTACATTTTTTCTGTATGTCTTATCACTAGGTGAGTGCAATTTAACATATGCTGAAAAGCACCCCAACATCTTATAAAACAACATTTATTTTGGAGCCTAATTTTCTCTTCCTATTGGAAGATGAAGGCAACAGGGAGTTAAGTTTTATGAAGATTTTATCTTAAAGGACCACTATAGTGCCAGGAAAACATACTCGTTTTCCTGGCACTATAGTGCCCTGAGGGTGCCCCCACCCTCAGGGACCCCCTCCCGCAGGGCTCTGGGGAGAGGAAGGGGTTAAAATCTTACCTTTCTCCAGCGTTGGGCGGGAGCTCTCTCTCCGCCTCCTCTTCGGCTGAATGCGCATGCGCGGCAGGTGCTGCTGCGCATTCAGCCAGTCTCATAGCAAAGCATTCATAATGCTTTCCTATGGACGCTGGCGTCTTCTCACTGTGATTTTTACAGTGAGAAGCACGCAAACGCCTCTAGCGGCTGTCAATGAGACAGCCACTAGAGGCTGTATTAACCCATAGGTAAACATAGCTGTTTCTCTGAAAGTGCTATGTTTATAGAAAAAAAGATTAACCCTAGCCGGACCTGGCACCCACACCACTTCATTAAGCTGAAGTGGTCTGGGTGCCTATAGTGGTCCTTTAAACCAAAACAAAATCACAGAAAATTAGTTGTGTTTACCGCCTTGTTTTGCCTGCCAGGGCTGGTTGTGTTTATTACTGTTAGTTGGAAATTCCATTTGCCCATAAGGCGGCCGATGTAGCTCTGTTTCATATCCTCCGGCCCTTGTGAACTGGAATTCCTAGATGAAGAATGTAATGAGAAAATCCAAGTCATGGGGGGATTCTACAACTTTTACCTGGGGAACAAGACGATTTGTCTGTCATTCTGAGCCTCCGTTAATGACCAAATCGCAGAGTTATTTGAGGTGTTCTGTATTTAAATTTAATTGTAATAGTTTTATTTAGCAACAGTATGTTTTATAGCACTGTAGAATCACTAATTGAGATTTGTCTTGTTCCAGATGTGCTGAATGATGCCATATTTGATGAGGACCACGATGAGATGGTGATTGTAAAAGATATCGACATGTTCTCTATGTGCGAGCATCATTTAGTGCCCTTCATTGGGAAGGTAATATGGCGGAATGATGACGGTGATTTACTTCTAACTCTTTGTAATGGACACAGTAAGAAATGATTGGATAGTTTCATAAAATGAATATTAAACACAAACTCTGGAAATAGGTTCACTTCCCCATCAAAAATAATGAACTGGCACATAAACTGCAAATAGGGGTTTATTATGATATAACCTCACAATCCTGAATGTTAAAGGACCACTATAGGGTCAGTAACTCCAACATGTATTCCATGTATGCAGAGGGTGGAGACACTGAATGTCAGTCACACTGTGCAGCACTGCCCCAGGAAGCATCTGCCTCTAGCAGCCATCTGAGGAATGGCCAGTGAAGTTATCACTAGGCTGTAATATAAGCACAGCATTTTCTCTGAAAACACAGTGTTTACTACAAACAGCCTGAAGGGACTGATTCTACTCACCAGAACAAATTCAATAAGCCGTATACCGTACATTAAGCTATATACTGTGAAATAAGCCGTATACCGTACATTAAGCTGTATACTGTGAAATAAGCCATATACCGTATATTAAGCTGTAGTTGTTCTGTTGTCTATTGTGTCCCTTTAAACATAATCCGTTGGGCTGTAGAGGATATTTTTTCTGTTTTGGCGCACCGATGCCAGTTTGTGGTGGTAATTATTTTTACACCCAACCCTCCCTTTTCTTAGGGAATTCTTCCCAATTTTTCCTCGATTGCATTTTTGTTAGATGAGAGTCACAAAAGTTGTAGGACATTTCACACTCAGACAGCGCCCTGGAATGTATTTTTATCAGTATGAAAGCGTGTAGCGCAGACCGGCACGGTGACAAATTAATAACCTGGAAACCATGCCACGGCCTCTTCAGTGTTTCCTTATTTTAGCCTGAGCCACAACAGGATTTTCAAAAAAATGTATTTTATTCAGTATGTGTCTTTATATAAACGTTAACATTTTAATTGGCCAACCGATTTTGTTATGGGGCAGGATGTTCCTTTGGTAATATTCTGAACAGGTTAAACCTGATTTGTTTTGATAGTGACAAAACATATATCAAATCACCCACAATTAATTTTATTTCTAAACTGGAGATTGTGGAGAAATTGCAATTGCACATTTCCTGACGGTTCAGTGTACTGATTGGCATGTTTTGCATAATGTTATAGTTTTTTATCTGCGAGAATTGAATATGATCAGATGTGGTCACACCGCGCTGCCGATCGGGTACTGTGACAGTGTGACCTCACTGATCACGTCCGGTCACACTGAGGTGCCGTTCGGGTGCTGTGACAGTGTGACCTCACTGATCACGTCCGGTCACACTGAGGTGCCGTTCGGGTGCTGTGACAGTGTGACCTCACTGATCACGTCCGGTCACACTGAGTTGCCGATCGGGTACTGTGATGGCGTGACCTCACTGATCAGATGCGGTCACACTGAGTTGCTGATCAGGTACTGGGACAGTGTGACCTCACTGATCAGGTGCGGTCACATCGCGCTGCCGATCGGGTACTGTGATGGCGTGACCTCACTGATCAGGTGCGGTCACATCGCGGTGCCAATCGGGTACTGTGATGGCATGACCTCACTGATCAGGTGCGGTCACATTGCGGTGCCAATCGGGTACTGTGATGGCGTGACCTCACTGATCAGGTGCGGTCACATCGTGGTGCCAATCGGGTACTGTGATGGCGTGACCTCACTGATCAGGTGCGGTCACATCGCGGTGCCAATCGGGTGCTGTGACACAGTTCAGTTATTTTGCCCTAATAATCCGCTTTATCCCATCCTCCACACAAGCAAGTTTCAGTATGCGAAAGTTCTAGCTATTAGTCCAGTCAAGCAGAGTTGGATTATTTTTCCTTTCACGATTTAGGATTGTTTTTAAATACAAGTTTTGTAAATCTGAAAGATGGATTCTCCTATATTTCAGGTGCACATCGGATATCTGCCAAACAAACAGGTTCTTGGTCTCAGCAAACTTGCGAGGTAAGCGATTTGCACATCAGACTCTTATTTACAGAATCCGCTCATTCATCATCTGTTTATCAATGGGAGCATTGACATGTGCTAACAGACTGTCTTTTTCTTCCTAATCCTTGTATAAAGACGCAGAAACGGTCTGCTTGCTATTGTCCTGCTTCCACTAACACAATCAGGAAAACCGTCTCCCACACTTAAAGGACCACTCTAGGCACCCAGACCACTTCAGCTTAATGAAGTGGTCTGGGTGCCAGGTCCAGCTAGGGTTAACCCATTTTTTAATAAACATAGTTTCAGAGAAACTGCTATATTTATGAATGGGTTAAGCCTTCCCCCTAATCCTCTAGTGGCTGTCTCATTGACAGCCACTAGAGACGCTTGCGTGCTTCTCACAGTGAGAGCACGCCAGCGTCCATAGGAAAGCATTGTAAATGCTTTCCTATGCGACGGGCTGAATGCGCGCGCAGCTCTTGCCGCGCGTGCGCATTCAGCCGACGGGGAGGAGAAGGAGGAGGAGAAGAGGAGGAGAGCTCCCCGCCCAGCGCTGGAAAAAGGTAAGTTTTTAACCCTTTCCCCCTTCCAGAGCCGGGCGGGAGGGGGTCTCTGAGGGTGGGGGCACTGTAGTGGTCCTTTAATGGTGTTGCATATTGTTAGAGATCAAGGAGAGCTGTAGAATATTTACAGTTTTGCTATTTAAGTCTAAAATAATCAATTACACCGTTAAAGGGACGCTATAGTCACCAGAACAACTACAGCTTATTATATAGTACCCAGCTTATTATATAGTACCCAGCTTATTGAATTTGTTCTGGTGAGTAGAATCATTCCTTTTAGGCTTTTTGCAGTAAGCACTGTCCTTTCAGAGAAAATGCAGTGTTTACATTACAGCCTAGTGATAACTTCACTGGCCACTCCTCAGATGGCTGTTAGAGATCCTTCCTGGGTCATGGCTGCCTAAAATGCATCCAAACATTCAGTATCTCCTCCCTCTGCATGCAGACACTGAACTTTCCTCATAGAGATCCATTGATTCAATTCATCTCTATGAGGAGATGCTGATTGGCCAGGGCTGTGTTTGAATCATGCTGGCTCTGCCCCTGATCTGCCTCCTTGTCAGTCTCAGCCAATCCTATGGGGAAGCATTGTGATTGGATCAGACTACCACTTCTGATGATGTCAGCAGGCAGTGGGCAGGTCTAAATGAAAAATGGACAAAGCCTGCAGCTCCAGACTTGAATACAAGTAAGATTTTACATTTATTAGGGAGGTATAAGGGCCTAGATGGTGGTTTTACCACTATAGGGTCAGGAATACATGTTTGTGTTCCTGACCCTATAGTGCTCCTTTAATTCTTAAAGGAACACTATAGTCACCAAAACAACTTTAGCTGGATGAAGCAGTTTTGGTGTATAGATCATGTCTCTGCAGTCTCACTGTTAAATAGTCTGAAATTTAGGAGTTAAATCACTTTTGTTTCTGTTTATGCAGCCCTAGCCACACCTCATCTGGCTGTGACTGACACAGTCTGCATAAAACCAATGGTTTTATTTTCAGTCAGATGTAACTTATTTTAAATCTTTTTATGTCCTGCTCTGTAAATTGAACTTTCATCACATGAAGGCTCCTGCAGGGTCTAGAAAGCTATTAACAGAGCAGAAAATAATGAAATTCTAAATTAAACATAATTTGCAATAAAGGAAGTACAAACATTAGATGACTCTTTACAGGAAGTGTTTAGGAAGGCTGTGCAAGTCACGTGCAGGGAGGTGTGACAAGGGCTGCATAAACAAAGTGATTTTACTCCTAAATGGCAGAGGATTGAGCAGTGAGACTGCAGGAGCATGATCTATACACCAAAACTACTTCATTTAACTATTTTGTTTGGTAACTATAGTGTCCCTTTTAAATCACAGTTTCAAGATTACGCAAGTGAGAGGTGATATTAAGTTACCTGTATTCAGATGAACATGCAGAGAATCATCCTTCCTGTCTTCTGGGTTTAAGCCACCACCTTGTCCCAGGGCCCTACCAGAAGGATTGTCTACAAACTGGTTTTCTGCAAAGCCATCTAGGGCTGGGCAAATTGTTGATAAACATACTACAGGGGAAATAGCAAGTTGCAGTGTAAATCATCTGGGCATCCACCATTTGCCCAGCCCTACTCGACAAACAGGTAAAGTGTCCTGTGCTATGTCCATGTAAATTCTTCAGCTCTTCATAGCCTTATATGTACAGCCGGGGTCATTTCTCGTGTAATGAGATACCAGGGTTTAACACCGACATCCGGAGAATTCAGCCAGCTGTAATATAAGGTCAGGTAACCCAGTGCAGTAATAAATGCACATTATGACACAGTTTTACCGCATGAGACTATATCGCAAATCCCTGCCTCTCCCTATATTCTCAGCATGTTGTGTAATGTGTGGAGAATCATGGGAAATGTAGTCCAGTGAACCTGGAGTGCCTTTATCAGTTATGTTTCTCTAGTGTGCTTGCATAGGACATTATATATTCCTGACCTTTTCCTGTTTAGCAAATCATAAAAAAGGATAATTTGCTTTAATTCTCTTATTCTATCTTTTCCAACACGTGAACAACACTGTATCAACATTTTCCAATTAGATTTGACATTTAATCTGACTGCAGTTTGGTGTTCGAGCACCCGCAGCTGGGATTAAGGAAGTCTTTGTGTATTTCGGCAGTGCTGGTCATTTTCACATTTATTGTGTTTGTTCTGCACGGAGAAGGGTTTTGATGGGACAAGTGGGCAAATCAGCGGCCAGTGAATGTGAGATTCATAGCGATTGTTTGTGTCGTTTTCCCCTTATATTTATACTGGGCCATTCTCTCTCTCTTCACACTGTAACAGAATTTCAGCTTGTTTCACCCATGATCATTCTGTGTCTTTCCTAAGGTCCCCTCTCCATGTCATCCATAGGTCCTATTCTCCTTTTTGTTTCACACTCCCCCCTTTTAATGTTCTTCTTTTCCTGCTGTGATCTCTTCCTGTGTTTAAGATTCAACACAACAGCTCCAAATACCTTTTATAGTGTTAGATTACTGTCCCTTTCCCTCTGTTTGTGAGAGAGTCTCTTGCCGCAGGTATGCGGTCCAATCATTTGGTTCTCCGAGAGGGATTCTGTGCCAGCATTGCTTCTTTCCAAATATAGGCAAAAAAAAAAAAAGCATTATTCGCACTTAGCAGAAATTCTCTTATAACACAAAATCGTGAAAAAGCAATAAATCCAAATCATCTGTAAGTTCTTATTCGCCTCTGCATGCTGTTGTACATGTAAGCACTCCAAAAAAATAAATACAACTAAATCTTTAGAGTCCCAACATTAGTATAATGTTTAAAAAAAAATAAAAGGCTATTTCCAAGTAATAGGGAATTGAATAATAGTTGCACAATAGTCTGTATATTCAGTCGTTTAAATTGATCCAATCCAGGTGTAACTTTGTATCCACCTTAAATTAGAAAAGACACAGACCTAGTGTAACACTGCAAATATTTTATTCTCCCTTAGAAAACCCTTTTGTGGAACTCTTACAGAATATGATGGTGGAACTTATCTCTAAGGACCAGTATTAGGCATTGATACAGTACAGTGCACTAGTCGAAATAGATGTATTACCGCTCCGTCGATAGGATATTGCAAACCGATCCTGTGCACTGGAACCGGTGCAGACCTCTGTCTCCTCGGAAGAACGTCCACTGGGAGTGCCGCTGGACTTGCTCCCAATGTTACCACCAGGCTCGATCTACGCTTTTCGCCTTTTAGATTGGGCTTTCTCAAGATAGGATATCTGGCAGAATTGAATTAAAGTCCGTATGGAATTTCTCTTGTAAACGGAAAAAGTCCAAATAATAACGAGGGGGTATAAAACCATTACAATTCATAAATATCAAACAGCATAGAAAGTATGTATGGAAAAGGTTAATTTGGTATACGGTTTTTACACACTTTACATATATCAAAATAAAATACATTAAAAATAACAATTAAAACAACTTATGTGTCTCAAAAGGAAAAAACAATTATGTAGCAGAGGGAAGAGAACCCAGAATGGTAGATATTGCAGGAGTTTTTAATTGATCTAATGCTGTGCTGACTAAAGACCAAATTAAGGTCATTAATAAGAATAATTTTCAGCATACAGCCTTGCAGAATAAATCCATTGTCTGCCCTAACAATCAGATGGGCGCACCCAGGAACGCTCTAATGGCAGATCTGGACAAAATTCCAGAAAGAATTCCTGGCAAAAAATCGAATCTAACTATACAGGAAAAAAGGCGTTACAAGAACTACACGGTAATAAAGCAGTACCTGGAAAACCTGCAGACAAAACTGGAGGGTGTTAATCAATACAACAGATGATACAGAATGTAAACTAACTCTGAATGATAAAGACCCCACTATAGATACCAAATAATTACTCCTTACAAAAGGGAAATTCATGGGAATTTTAACTAAAAAAAAAAGTTGCTCCAAGGAGACAGAGGTCTGCACCGGTTCCAGTGCACAGGATCGGTTTGCAATATCCTATCGACGGAGCGGTAATACATCTATTTCGACTAGTGCACTGTACTGTATCAATGCCTAATACTGGTCCTTAGAGATAAGTTCCACCACCATATTCTGTAAGAGTTCCACAAAAGGGTTTTCTAAGGGAGAATAAAATATTTGCAGTGTTACACTAGGTCTGTGTCTCTTCTAATTTAAGGTGGATACAAAGTTACACCTGGATTGGATCCATTTAAACGACTGAATACACAGACTATTGTGCAACTATTATTCAATTCCCTATTACTTGGAAATAGCCTTTTATTTTTTTAAATTTCTTTTATTTAACATTATGCTAATGTTGGGACGCTAACAATTTGTATTTATTGCTTTTTCCCTATTTTGTGTTGTAAGGGAATATCTGCTAAGCGCTGATACTGCTTTTTTGCCTATATTTAGCTTTGAAACTTGGGAAGGTTTTTATTGTATTTAGCGGCTCTCTTACACTGTTCTATTTTAACTGATTTGCACTCTTATTTTTATTATTCTCTTCAAATATGATGACACCAAGACCCATTTATTAAATCCGACCCCTGGAATTGTATAATAACACTAAGACGCCCCCCTTTCTTCTTGGCTTTAAAGCAATGAGGAATTATAAGAAATCAGATGACCATTTCTTTGTATTTGTTTTAGGATTGTGGAAATCTACAGCAGACGACTGCAAGGTAAGTACTCTTCCATGATGTAAGTCGACTGATTCTGACATTGAAAGTGCACCCCAGGGCAGATTATTTTTAGATAAAGGTTATGAAAGTCCAGTTTCTTTATATATATATACAAGCTTATCTCCTGTCTCGTTATCAGTGCCAGGTTCAAAGGTACATCTTTCCACAGCTGAGCTCCGGCCGCTGCTTACTTTGACATAAAATCTTTTGACAGTGGACAGAATGTCTGTATATTAGCTGTCAGCAATGAAAGGCCAAAATGCAAATCAAACACGGTGGAGCCTGCAGTCTTTTTATTCTATTCTATATTTTATGCTGGTGATTTTTGGATTATTTGAAATAAAAATCACATGCACAAAATAATTATTTATGCATATTTTAAGCTTATATCCAGATATAAAATTATAATCCGTACTTTTATTAAAAAAAAACAAAAATCAGATGTCTGTTGAGCAACACTCAAAACTTAACGAAATCTTATATTCTCCTTTCACTCCCCCAAAAAAAAAAACCCTCCTAAAACATTGAGTTTGCAGACGGGGGAATGGTGACTACAGTTTTACTGAATACAATGTGTTAATTAAACAATGTCCCCAGCCTCCCGCCCTTTATACAGCCACCTAGTCATTAATACCTTCTTACGCAGAAGCCCAGTGCGGATGGCAATCATGCTTCGACACCAAAAGGATCATTAAGTAGGAGACATTTTATGGACAACCTACTGTTTGTTTTAAGATTATTTTTTATTTTTTTTTGAATTTGACAATTTTTATTGTACAATGCAACGAGATACCGTCATGACAAATCAGTGTAAATCACATGCTGACAACACAATCCAACACTTCACTGCTTGTTGTTACAGATATTAGGTAGTTGTTCTTATTCTCCCATCTCCCTCTGAGGGTTCAGGAAGGTAGGCGGTTATGCAGGAGTGTGTCGTGCATGTCTTTGCCAAGGTTGCCTTATACCACAAGGTGGCCGGAGGCTCTGTGTATATCATCCTCAATGTTTTAAGATTATTTTTATTATTCACATGGCTTATACAAGATTAATAAAATAATATTCTTATGTAATCCATGTGAATAAGCAAAAAATTCCCATGGATTTTATATTTTTATTATTCCCATAGATTTTATAAGATTATTTTTATTATGGTTCTTCGAGCCATGTTTGTTTGTAGTAAACAATTTTGCACAATATTTGACGACTCAGAACTGCTTGTGCCTCAGGTGTGATGTGTACATTGCTGTGTGAGGGTAGGCTATGACCTGGAGGAACAGATCGATTACATGGTTTGGTGAACATGTTGGATTGTGTAAAAACAAAAATAGTAATCTCTGAATCAGTGCTAGAACAATCCGAACAATGTGAAAGGTCACATGTCCAAAGCCAGGCATCTCCAAATTGTGAAATAAGTGCGTGACTTGTTATATGACATCGGCATTTTATGGGTCAATACGCCACTCACTGCTTACCGATATATTTACAGTTTGTATCTGAAAGTTCACTCTCATTTTGTCCTTTCTACATGGTGAGAGGAACACGTTTATTGTATATTTTTATTCCCGTGTCACAATGCAGGATGGTTTATATGGCTATGGACTCCTGTAGTAAGCGCAAGTGTATATAATAAATGTGGCACTGCCTAGCTCTGACATCGTGGCTGTTATAGGACATTAAAGGGACACACAAACTGGGCACTATAGTGGTTATGGTGCCGCTCCTCACCTTTCTGTAGGCAGTAGAGCCAGAACTCCTGGCACCATAACTATTACAACTTCCTGTAGTTATGGTGTTTGGAGGGCTTTGTAAGGTGTAAATGAGCTAAACAGGTGAGAAGTAGACCCTTGAAACATCTCCTCTGTTTATTAAGCTGCGTATTAGGGCACAGCAGACTATATATCCTTTATTTCATCTTACACCTGTGGCCCTTAAACATTAATGCTGACTCTAATGCAGAATTTACGTATGCTGCTATATCTGAGGAGAGGGCTGAATACATTCTCAGCTGTTCCTCTTCGTGCAATAACGCCTGGGAAAATGAGCCGGAGAGACTTTTATTAAAATGATTCCTTACAGCTCTGCCTAACTCAGGCATTTAACCTGGTTTTAGACCATAATAGAAACTGCATTTTCAGCTTAGGGTAAGCCCCGAATTGCATCATACTGAATTGTGAATGGTAAGTTATTCTAAACCGCAGCACTAGAGCCTGGTACCAGATCATCTGCGTTGGCTTACATTTATCCTTTATACGGAATTCACTATTAACAGAGTTCTTTACCAAAGGCAGAGTTGTCTGAATTCGAGGTGAATCTTTCAGATACTGAAACCATTCTCCAAGTCTTGGTTTCCAGTTCACTTTTGGTGTAAAATGTAGAATTAATTTTCAGGGTTATTCAAAGTCAAATGTAGGACATGACGTTACACCCAAGCTGCGCTGTAATGGTGGGATCTCATGAAAGGCTGGTCCCACTTTGAAAACACTTTGATTTATTAAACCACAAACTCTGCAGCGCTATAAGTAGGTGGACATTGAATGAAAAAGTCTTGTATGACTTATTTATAATGGGGAGAAAAATAGCTTAATTATACAGAAAGTAACTGGGTTTATCTTACCAGCTCTTGATTTTGTTCCCTTTTTTTGCAGTTCAGGAACGTCTTACGAAACAAATTGCCATAGCAATCACTGAAGCGCTGCAGCCGTCTGGGGTCGGAGTAGTCATAGAAGCCACGTAAGCTGCACTGTTTATGTTCTCATCCATCGTAAGGATATAAAGTATAAAATAATTGTGGAGCTTCGAGCCAGCACGATGGACAGAGAGCACACTGCGATAGCTCTCTGATTTCTTTCCCTGAACTAATAACTTTACTTTCATTTGTAAAGACCACAAGAAAAATGACTCCCAGAATTCTCACTTGAATAACCCTGTCTGTATTTTCCTCCATGTGCTATATGGGTTAAATCTTCCTTTGAAAACTCTGTCTAAATCTGGTAATTTAATTTTCAATTCAAAGCAGGAGAATTATTTTGCCAATGTTGTCTGAACTGAATATTTGGGCATAGAATAGTTGATTCTTATGAGAATAAAAAAAAAATAGTTTTAAAAGCAGAATTAGTGGATGGGTAGGTGAGAGTATGAGGGCGAATGGGAGTATTAGAGGCAGACTTGTACGTGTGAGCCCCGTGTAAATACACGCCCTTGCCAAAGATCTCCAGATAGGTGAGCATTAAGGCTCCCTGCATTTAGACACCTTAAAGAGGTGGGATTCCCTGGGCGCAATAGTCTCACAGAGATGAGGGGAATGCTGAATACGGCCCAGGCCCGCTGGCTGCCGTACCAACCTCTGCATCTAGAATTACAACACACCTTTCATGGAGTCCCCCTGCTATAGCGCACTGGGTTTAAACAAGACAGTATACCTAGGCAGAGCGCAGTGCGATGGTGACATGGAAGGGGATGAGATAGAGGAGTGGGCTTTGGATTACCCTTAAGGGCTCTGTTTTTATTGTTTCTCTCAAACTTAGTTTCTTTGTGTCATGTACCTGTTTTTATGCTGTAATCAGCCGTATTAATTCATGCAATGTCTGAAATTTCTGCATTACCAAAATGTGTGGATGTAATCCACATCAAAAATAAAGAATTATAAAAATAAATAAAATAAGCAGAGTTAGAACCCCTTTTCAGAACACTTGGCAAAGTCTTTCCGAATGTGCCAGTTTGAAGCAGTTCTCTAACTTGGCTATAGGCACAGCTAGGCTGTTTTAGCTGCAAGTCTTACCATTTGGATTTTAACTACATGAACAGAGTGTATTGCAGCTCCTGTATCTGCTCCCTTGTGATCGGATGATGTTAGCTCAGCTTGAAAAGCCAATAGCAGAGATCACCATCATACCAAACAAAATACGCTATATTAGAATGGAAGTGAAAATAAATCCTTTCGTTTATATCTTTATAATCTAGTGTGTGCACCTTTATGAAAAATAATTTACAACATGGTGTAAAACCTTAAAACTGCTAATATCAAAATGTCTATAATAGAACACTCACGTGTTGTAGAGACGTTTGGGTCTGTATGGGACCGTGAACACTCCTCTCGTTATAGGTAAATTGAAAGAGATATCTTTTCCTTCCCAGGCTGCTTCATAGACGAGATGTATAAATGGTGTAATATTGCTTTAAAACCACACAACTATAAATGAGGTTATTGTACTCACAAGCTTGGAGCCCATCAATTGGCTCAATAAAAGTTTATATATATATATTTAATATTGAGTTATTGTACAACAAGTTTATACTTTATTAAAGCAACAATTATAAAAATATATATCTCTATCTGATTCCCTGAGCGTGTTATAATGACTGGCCATCGTTCCTGCATATAAACCTCCTTAATCCTAGTAAGCTGCTTTGGCCGTTTCTCCACTTGTTCCTGAGACAAACTCTATTTTACAATCCTCCTTTTCAGACGTAACGTCACTTCCGGTCTTATCTGCGTTGTCTTTTTTTATTTTATTTTGTCCCACTGACAGAGGAAACCACGGCCGGCCGTTCCACTGACAGAGGAAACCGGGGCCGTTCGTGCCACTGACAGAGGAAACTGCGGCCGTTCGTTTCACTTGCATCAACAAATGTGTCAATATATTTTAAATGTCCTTATATATATATATATATAATATCTCATATATGGGAAACAGAAACCAGTATAAAGACTCCCACAATCCACATTTCTAAATATAAGATAAAGAGAAATAAGACAATTATAAAAAGTACGTCATCCACATTCTTATATCGGGATATAAATAGATATATAAAAGTCACTGTATGATCCCAATACTGAAATATCATCTATTATGTATAAAACTATATAAATCTCGGAAAATTCCATCTAAAAACCGTTATAAATGATTAATAAAATACACACAACTGATAAAGCAAGTTTCTTTTAAAATTTATATAAATTATCTTAATAGTGATTTGGAGATTGTTTGTTTTGTTTTGATTTTGTTTTGGTTTGTTTTTTAAGATCGTGGAGAATCAAATTATTTAAATGAAAGATCCAACATCATTTTATTATTGTCTGCATCCGTAAAAACCAATATGTATTTTTAAAAATGTAGCAGCCTGATCGTGGCTCTTTACCAATATACTTTACTTTTACCCTTTTAGGATCTTTTACGAAAAGTATTTTCCCAGAACAACCAATTTCACTCAACCAGCCATAGAGGAGTAAAAAAAAAAGTATATTGGTAAAGAGCCACGATAAAAAAAACATATTGGTTTTACGGACGCAGACAGTGTTTGGCATGTTCTAGGAGAAAAGACAACGATTGTAACTCTATTATTTAAAAGTTGCACTACTGAAGGCAACAGAAAATTGCATTAGGCTTGTCAGTAAAAGCAAAAAATTCAAGAAACCACTGTGGTACCCCGCAGATGTGGCCAAAATAGTTAAAAACAAAAAGTTAGCATTTAGGAATTATAAAAAAAACCAGAGTGAGGGAGACAAAATGATCTATAAGATTAGGCAGAAAGAGGCTAAGCAAGTTATAAGAGCTTCCAAATCACACACAGAAGAGAAAATAGCACAGTCAGTAAAAAAAGGGGATAAAACATTTTTTAGATACATAAATGAGAAAAGAAAAGTAAAACAAGGATTAGTTATATTAAAAACAAAAGAAGGAAGGTATGTAGAAGAGGATAAAGGTCTAGCTGACTGCCTCAATGAATATTTTTGTTCTGTATTTACAGAAGAAAATGAAGGAAAGGGACCTCAGTTGAGAAAAAGGATAAATGAGTCATTTATTACACGTGAGTTTACAGAGGAAGAGGTTCTATTTCAACTGTCAAAAGTAAAGACAAATAAGTCAATGGGACCTGATGGAATACACCCAAAGCTATTAAAAGAGCTTAGTGGTGTACTAGCAAAACCATTAACAGATTTATTTAACCAATCATTGTTAACAGGAGTAGTCCCAGAAGATTGGAAGTTAGCGAATGTTGTGCCCATTTACAAGAAAGGTAATAGGGAGGAGTCGGGCAACTATAGGCCAGTAAGCCTTACTTCAGTAGTGGGAAAGTGATGGAAACCATGTTAAAGGATAGGATTGATGAACATCTAAAAACACATGGATTTCAAGATCAGAGACAACATGGGTTTACTTCAGGGAGATCATGCCAAACTAATCTTATTGATTGATTGGGTAACTAAAATTATAGATCAGGGTGGTGCAGTAGACATTGCTTACCTAGATTTCAGTAAGGCTTTTGACACTGTTGCACATAGAAGGCTTATCAATAAACTGCAATCTTTAAGTTTGGATTCCAATATTGTTGAATGGGTAAGGCAGTGGCTGAGTGACAGGCAACAGAGGGTTGTAGTTAATGGAATATATTCAAGCTTGGACTTGTCACCAGTGGGGTACCTCAGGGATCTGTACTTGGACCCATTCTCTTTAATATTTTTATTAGTGATATTGCAGAAGGTCTTGATGGTAAGGTATGTCTTTTTCCTGATGATACTAAGATATGTAACAGGGTTGATGTTCCAGGAGGGATAAGCCAAATGGCAAATGTTTTAGGTAAACTAGAAAAATGTCAGAGTTGTGGCAACTGACATTTAATGTGGATAAGTGCAAGATAATGCATCTTGGACGTAAAAACCCAAGGGCAGAGTACAGAATATTTGCTAGAGTCCTAACCTCAACATCTGAGGAAAGGGATTTAGGGGTGGTTATTTCTGATGACTTAAAGGTAGGCAGACAATGTAATAGAGCAGCAGGAAATGCTAGCAGAATGCTTAGTTGTATAGGGAGAGGTATTAGCAGTAGAAAGAGGGAAGTGCTCATGCCATTGTACAGAACACTGGTGAGACCTCACTTGGAGTATTGTACACAGTACTGGAGACCGTATCTTCAGAAGGATATTGATACCTTAGAGAGGGTTCAGAGAAGGGCTACTAAACTGGTTCATGGATTGCGGGATAAAACTTACCAGGAAAGGTTAAAGGATCTTAACATGTATAGCTTGGAGGAAAGACGAGACAGGGGGGATATGATAGAAACATTTAAATATATAAAGGGAATCAACACAGTAAAGGAGGAGACTATATTTAAAAGAATTTGAACACACAAAAAAATGTGGAATGATGGCGCTATATAATAAGTGAATTTGTGATTTTTAGCTGCTATATACACTCCGTGGGTACTCCTTATAACCCACCATTCATAGATAAACACCAAAAAAAGAGAGAGAACTTTGGATTTAGGTAGATACTATATATCCCCCAAATCCCTAGTTTCTCATGAGTGTAGCGCTGAATATAAAGTGAAAATTTCAGTGAAGGAATAGTGCTAGAACACGCACTTACCCTATATATTGTGCTTTAGTTTTCTTAATGGTATACCAAGAAAAAAGAACATAAAAAATACAAATAATAGTGTAGTATATTAAATGGATATTGTATAAAGTCTTTTAGTTGTAAATGATGAATTGAAATGAACTCACATTTTTTAGAGCCTTTTCCAGTTATAAGGCTCTAAACTTCCAGGTGTCTGTGTCTTTTTTAGGGGTAGATCACACGACCCGTCTCCCAAGATGAAAAAGGGCGTAAATTTCTCTCCACGTTGCATAGAAAAGAGACACAGATATCCCCAATCTAAATGTAGTATTTTAGATTCTGATGTAGATCAATGTAAATAAAATACAAAAGTGCTCACCTTCTTTAGAGCCTCTGGTTACCGGCTCTAAGTATTTTAGCCTAGTGTCAAATTAATAGGGATGACACTGCCCCCTTCTTGGAATCACTTGCGCAGAGTATGATTGAATAGTAAATAAAATGTATATATTTATTTTGAAAACTATAAAAATGTATACATGATACTAGAAAATAATAAAAACAGTTACATAAAATATAAATATATTGGGTGGTCTATTTACAGGTCCACCTAGTTAGCCAAAACGCGTTTCACCGATCAGAACGGCTTCCTCAGTCAGCTTCAAACAATATTGTGCATCCAGTCTCCTTTTTATACCTTCAAATTTCCCGCCAGAAAATTCCTCTGTTCGTTGGTTTAATTGCGTCCAGTGTCTCCAGTATGGCGTCACGTCACTTCCGCCCTTTAATCCTACAAGTCCCATCCTGCTTTGGGTTTACTGGTGTCACTTCCGGTTTTCGCGGGCAAAAATGCCGTCGCGTCACTTCCGGTTTCGTGAACTACACGTCCCATGGTGCACTGCCCCTAAATCTCAGTTCCTAATAGTAGTATTTGTTTCACTGTTGCCCCTTTTCTCTGAAGATACATTCCGAGTACATTTAGAAAATAAACACATCAGTGATATGATTCATAACATAAAGGAAAAAAAAATAGAAACAGTAAAGACAATAGAAAATGACATTGTATATACAGCAAAATATCTAATCAGTATTATATTTTGATGTATTGAAGAACTTTATATAATTCCAGTGTTGAAAATATATATTGCCTGGAATATTTATATGGTTCTATAATTGTGTAATAATTTATTCTTATAGTCATTTACAATTTATTGGTGTGCAGATCCCTATTTGGTATATTTCTTAGGTCCTACAACAGTAATATGTATTATTAATTATGATGTTTAGAATTATAAAATAGTATGTTTTTTATATGAAATAAATTAATTAAAAGATAAATAAATTTTAATTAATAGACCAAACATCTAAAAAATAATAATTTTTGAAGAAGAATAATTATAAAAAATGACATAATTCGAAATCTGCATTCAAGCCTTGGGGGGTTAGAGTGTTTAAATTAAATATCCATTTTGTTTCTAATTGACCTAATTTTCTTATTTCGTCCTCCCCTCGCCAATTTAAGGTGACTTTTTGGATAGCATAAAAATCTAAAAATTGTGGATCTTTGTCATGTATTAATCTAAAATGGTCTGAAACACTATGCTTATCGTAGCCCTTCTTAATGTTCCGTATATGCTCATTTATTCTCACATTCATTGAATGTGAGAATAAATGAGCATATACGGAACATTAAACCAACGAACAGAGGAATTTTCTGGCGGGAAATTTGAAGGTATAAAAAGGAGACTGGATGCACAATATTGTTTGAAGCTGACTGAGGAAGCCGTTCTGATCGGTGAAACGCGTTTTGGCTAACTAGGTGGACCTGTAAATAGACCACCCAATATATTTATATTTTATGTAACTGTTTTTATTATTTTCTAGTATCATGTATACATTTTTATAGTTTTCAAAATAAATATATACATTTTATTTACTATTCAATCATACTCTGCGCAAGTGATTCCAAGAAGGGGGCAGTGTCATCCCTATTAATTTGACACTAGGCTAAAATACTTAGAGCCGGTAACCAGAGGCTCTAAAGAAGGTGAGCACTTTTGTATTTTATTTACATTGATCTACATCAGAATCTAAAATACTACATTTAGATTGGGGATATCTGTGTCTCTTTTCTATGCAACGTGGAGAGAAATTTACGCCCTTTTTCATCTTGGGAGACGGGTCGTGTGATCTACCCCTAAAAAAGACACAGACACCTGGAAGTTTAGAGCCTTATAACTGGAAAAGGCTCTAAAAAATGTGAGTTCATTTCAATTCATCATTTACAACTAAAAGACTTTATACAATATTCATTTAATATACTACACTATTATTTGTATTTTTTATGTTCTTTTTTCTTGATATACCATTAAGAAAACTAAAGCACAATATATAGGGTAAGTGCGTGTTCTAGCACTATTCCTTCACTGAAATTTTCACTTTATATTCAGCGCTACACTCATGAGAAACTAGGGATTTGGGGGATATATAGTATCTACCTAAATCCAAAGTTCTCTCTCTTTTTTTGGTGTTTATATTTAAAAGAAGAAAAACTACCACAACAAGAGGACATAGTCTTAAATTAGAGGGACAAAGGTTTAAAAATAATATCAGGAAGTATTACTTTACTGAGAGGGTAGTGGATGCATGGAATAGCCTTCCAGCTGAAGTGGTAGAGGTTAACACAGTAAAGGAGTTTAAGCATGCGTGGGATAGGCATAAGGCTATCCTAACTATAAGATAAGGCTAGGGACTAATGAAAGTATTTAGAAAATTGGGCAGACTAGATGGGCCGAATGGTTCTTATCTGCCGTCACATTCTATGTTTCTATGACAGGAGAGGGTCTATCATTATTAATAAATATATAAATAATGTTTTGGATGTCTCTGCGGATTACGCTATGTAGGAAGAACAAGGGCCCAACATATCCGTATTGGGGAACATTATCAATGGATTCATCATAGTGTATCCTCTCACTTTAAACATTGTCAGAATAAGGATCCAAAAGGCCCGAAGTTTAGAGGGATAAATAAAATGCAGAAATATTGGAGGGTAATAAAATTATTAGAATTGATCTTTAATTTAAATAAGTTGATTTTCCACAGTCTTAGAAAAAAAAATCTCCAAATCACTATTAAGCTAATTTATTTAAACTGATAAAACAAGTTTTTTTTGTTTTTGTTTTTTTTAAATTGTGTGTATTTTATTAATCATTTATGAAGTTTTTAGATATAATTTTTTGGACATGTATATATTCACATAATAGATAACATTTCAGTACTGGGATCATACAGTGACTTTATTTATAGATCTATTATGAAGAATTTGGATGACGTACTTTTTATAATTGTTTTATTTCTCTTCATCTTCTGAGATCTCGTATTTAGAAATGTGGATTGTGTGCATCTCTTTATATTCGTTTCTGTTTCCCATATATGAGATATTTTATACATAAGGACATTAAAAGGCACTGACACACATTTATTGATACAAGTAGAACGCATGTACGTGGTTTCCTCTATTAGTGGAACAAAAGAACACATTTCCTCTGTCAGTGGCACGAACGGCCGCGGTTTCCTCTGTCAGTGGCACGAACGGCCGCGGTTTCCTCTGTCAGTGGCACGAACGGCCGCGGTTTCCTCTGTCAGTGGCACGAAAGAAAATCAGAATAGACGCAACGCAGATAAGACCGGAAGTGACGTTAAGTCTGAAAAGGAGGATTGTAAAATAGTTTGTCTCAGGAACAAGCGGAGAAACGGCCAAAGCGGCTTACTAGGATTAAGGAGGTTTATATGCAGGAACGATGGCCAGTCATTATAACACGCTCACGGAATCAGAGATTATATATATATATTTTTTTTTTTTATAATTGTTGTTTTAATAAAGTATAAACTTGTTGTCCAGGAACTCAATATTCTATATTTTATTTATATATACATATATTATAGTTTTATTGAGCCAATTGATAGGTTTCAAGCTTGTGAGTACAATAACTTAATTTATACGTTGTGTGGTTTTAAAGCAATATTACACCATTTATACACCTTTATCAGGAAAAGATATCTCTTTCAATTTACCTATAATGAGAGGAGTGTTCACGGTCCCATACAGACCCATATGTCTCTACAACCAGAGCTAGTTTTTTTCAGCTCTGGAACATGTGAGTGTTCCATTATAGATATTTTTAGATTAGTTTTAAAAGGACACTATAGTCAGAACATCTACAGCTTATTTAATGTGTTCTGGTTAGTCTCTTTTCAGAGAAAATGCAGTGTTTACATTACAGCCTAGTGATAACTTCCCTGGCCACTCCTCAGATAGCTGTTAGAGATCCTTCCTGGGTCATGGCTGCCTAAAATGCATCCAAACATCCAGTCTCTCCTCCCTCTGCATGCAGACACTGAACTAAGAGATACATTGATTCAATGTATCTCTATGAGGAGATGCTGATTGGCCAGGGCTGTGTTTGAATCATGCTGGCTCTGCCCCTGATCTGCCTCTTTGTCAGTCTCAGCCAATCCTATGGAGAAGCATTGTGATTGGATCAGCTACCACTTCTGATAATGTCAGCAGACTGCTTGTTTTTCTGAGTCTAACAGCATGCAGAGTTACAGCTTCAGGCTTGAATACAGTAAGATTTCCTATATTTATGGAGGCATGAGGGGCCCAAGGAGGCTAGATAGTGGTTTTAACACTATAGGGTCAGGAATACACGTTTGTGTTCCTGACCCTATAGTGATCCTTTAAGGTTTTACACTGTAACCGCAGCCGGCTCCCCTATTTACCACTATAACATCTTAAAGCATATAATTTAGCAAGGCTAACCGCACAGATATCTTAGCCATAATATTATATAGTTAGTAAGAGTTCCTCTATTTAAAATATATAAATAATTAAGAATACAATATAAAATAGGGGTTATCTTGGAAGCAAAATTTTGTCTTTTTAAATATTTTATTAAATAAAAATATAAACTTATATAAACATAATAATCCATTACAATAATTCATAGCAGAGTTTATAAGATTAATGTATATGCTTGCAATATAAGTGAAATAGAATAACATACCCAATTAAAGAAGTCAACCTCTCAGTCATGGTAAAATGGAGCAGCGTCTGTCTCCGAAATCTCTCCTGTTTCCTAATATTAATAAGTACATGTGGCCACGGGCTCTTGGAGGGGCCTGCTGGCCACCCTCTTTCCAAGAGACTATGGAGCCTTTAAGAATGTATGTTATTTATGTACTTTTGTACTCCAGACAGAGAGACCGACCGTCTGTCAAAACTATGACTTCCATGGAAATCCCAAACCCCTGAACCGATCTGGGTGATATTTGGATATGTTGGTCCCCCAGATCGGGGGATGTGACTTTTGTGGGGTTTCCATGTGTTTTGGGGGTACTTTTGGAATATTGTAAAATTTATGTTTTCTGTACCTGGAGATAATGGAGTTCGTACAGTTCCTGACTCAATTATCTCTCAGGCACAGGGGAGGGATTATCTTATTTTTTGTGGGAGTGTCCTGGACCTGAGTGACCAAGTAGACATTGTAATGACATTGGCTTAGAAAACCCCTTTGCACAGAGTACTTCCAAGCACTCCATCAGACACCATAACCACTGTATGTCCCACAGCCAGCGTTACAGCCTGGTTGGGGTCTCGCTGTCCTCCACCCACCCTGGACCCAAGTCAGGGATCCAGCTTCCAGTGGATAGATCTCTCCTACTCCAGAGAGTATAGCAGGATAGCTCTTACAAGAGCTAGTGATTCTAATCCAAGGGAGTATAATGAGTATAGCAATCCCCAGAGTGAATATGGCTGTCCCCTCCACACATGAGATGAGGCTCTATGTTGAGGGTGAAGGGTAACTTGTTTAATGGGAGCCACATGCAGCCTTATATGCAACTCCCCATGTAAGGGGTTTCTGGATACTTATTCCAGGGGCATTCCCCTCTGGACCTGAGAGGAGACTACAGTAAACATACACATAATTACATTGGCTCTCAGGTCCAGGAGAGAGGTAATTGCCTGAGAGATAACCGAGTCAGGAACTGTACTAAACTCAATTATCTCCAGGTACAGAAAACATACATTTTAACAACACCCTGTAAGTTCCACCAAAACACATTGAGACCCCAGAAAAGTCACACCCCCGGATAGCCCCAATCTGGGGGACCAACATATCCAAAAATCACCCAGATCAGTTCAGGGGTTCAGGATTTCCAAGGAAGTCATAATTTTGACCGACCGTGCACATGGTCCTATGCCCAAAACAGTTCCAGGGAATTAGGGCTAACGGTCGGTCTCTCTTTCTAGAGTACAAAAGTACATATATCCAGGTACCTCCAGACCACTTCTGCCCATTGTCTGGGTGCCAACTCCCACAAACCTTAACCCTGCAAGTGTAATTATTGTAGTTTTCATAAACTGCAATATTTACCTTGCAGGGTTTAGTCCTCCTATCAGACAGCCACTAGATGGACTTCCGTGTTCTAGAACACAAAAAGTGTGTTATACGACGCTGGACGTCCTCACGCTATGTGAGGACCTCCAGCGTCGCTAAAATCCCCATAGGAAAGCATTAAATAATGATTTTCTATGGGGAGGACTAATGCGCGCACGCGGCCGTTGCCGTGCATGCGCATTAGGTTCCCCCGCTGGCTGACGGTGGGGGAGGAGAGTAGGCTGATATCGGCGCTGGACTCTGGTAAGCCACTGAAGGGGTTTTAACCCCTTCAGCAACTTGGGATGGGGGGGAGAGGGGTACTACAGGGTCCTGTAGTGCCAGGAAACCTAATGTTTTCCTGGCACTGGAGAATACCTATAAGTTTTTAAAGGGCCCATAGTGATCATTTGGCAAGAGGCTGGGCAGCAGGCCCCTCCAAGAGCCCGCGGATGTTCAATTAGGTCATGTTAGGACCTGCCTTAACTTGGCAAAGATACGAGGCCAGAACTTGGTCATTTCACAGGGGAACATCTTATCTATGTCTAGACTAAAACGTAAGGGCGCACATGGCATGGGAAATTCCCTGACTTGGGGATTAAACTAACCTAGGACAAGATGGCGTCCTAAAATCTGAATATGGGTAAGAGGTCATTTATTAAAGAAACATTGTATGAACAACAATATTTTCCATTTCTAACAAACTATCAGTTTGCAGAATCTCTTAACCCCTTAAGACCGCAGGGCGTTCTATGCCGTCCTTATTTAGATGGCTCTAAAAGCCGCAGGGCGTTCTATGCCGTCCTTATTTAGATGGCTCTAAAAGCCTCAGGGCGGCATAGAACGCCCTGCGATCTTATGTACTTACCTGGTCGCCGGCAATCGCGGTCTGGAGACTCACCTGGGAATCCCCCTCCGTCCTCTTCGGCCCCCCTGGGCCAGGTGATCGCGAGGTCACAGTAGGGGGAGTGCCTGTAATGACAGGTAGTGGATGTTCTAATAAATTTACTCTGAGGTCAAAGCCTAAGTTTTACATCTCAGACTCTACAAGCCTCAGCATGTTAAACCTAATTAAATTGCTGTGGCGGGGCCTTAAGAGAGCTGTGCATGAACAAATGTTGGAAAAACCACAATAAATTGAAACAATGGTGTAAAGAAGAGTGGGACAAAATTCCTTCACAAAAGTAAAGAACTATACTGTAAAAATGAAACCTCTTTTTCATTGAGGCTATGTGTGTCAAGAGCTGCAAGAAAAGTGTTTTAACTCCTAAACTGCATGGGCATGATTTACACACCAAAACTTCTTCAGTAAATTTAAAGGACCACTATAGGCACCCAGACCACTTCAGCTCAGTGAAGTGGTTTGGGTGCCAGCCAGGTCCCCTAGTTTTAAATCTGCAGCTAAAACCATAGCAGTTTCAGAGAAACTGCTATGTTTACACTGCAGGGTTAATCCAGCCTCTAGTGGCTGTCTCCCTGATAGCCACTAGAGGCGCTTCTGCGATTTACACGGAGTAAATCGTACTTTTCTATGCAGATCTTCTTTGACCTCACGGAGTTCAGCGAGCGTCAAATAAGATCCACATAGGAAAGTGTGACGAGAGCAATCTCGCCACATTGCATTGGAGAAGCCTGGTTGCTCGCCTGTTACCTTTGGACTATGGCCCCATGTTAAGACATCTTTTTCCCTGCAGAAAAGACTTATTCGTGCTTTTCTGCCTGGTGTTCGATAGATTTAATCTACCGAACAACCGCATAAATGACTAGACCACCTGGGAGCTGGAGTGTGCCGGCAATTAGCCTCCCAGAAGCTGCAGTTAACCGCAGCTTAATTGACGCATACTGGGTGGCCGCCATTCGTATCACGAACATGAGGTCGCGGCCATTTCAAACACGCGAACGCACAGCGGTGTTCGACGCCTAATTCATGGAACTAAAAACGGACACAGTTTGGCGCGAACACCGCTGAAGCCGTCGACCTCCCTTCTTGTTCGGCGGGAGTGCACGAACGGCCCGGTGTTCGGTAGTTTTACCTGACTGTATTATACCCCAGATAGGAATCCCATGGAGCTCATTCGTATGAGAACTAACTTTGTAAAGACTTTGGCTCCATGGCAATTGAACTGTATTCGTGTGGTCTGAGCGCCATTCGTTTAATAATATGCGCTCAGACCTGAGCTATCTGGGGACATGTTAAATGTATAGTTTTAATGTAATGTGTCTTACATAGTGTATTTTAATAATAATTCTTGTGTTAGTATCCCCACGTGCATAATGGCGATTTACCTTTGTCCTGGGAGATAATTGAATTACTTCTCTATTATCTCCAGGGCAGAGGGGAGGAAGCCAGGATGCATTGTGGGAATATACTGTGACTGTGTGTCCTATTTATCTACTTGTCTGTCTTTTGTCACAGTCTCCCATCTGGTCCCCTAGGGGAGTGTCCACCAGGTGGGAGACCTTCATAAATACTGGGCAGGTAGCCCTCATTAAACAGACCACTGCTTGACCCTCAACACGGAGCCTTGTCTCGTCTTTGGGGGGATTTACTGTATGCTGATAGAGACTGATTGCTAGGAGTGTAAGCCGCTTGGATGCTTATCCTATTCGTCTGCTAGCAGCTATTCGTATGGTTCGAGTTCGGGAGTTTGGAGCATTCCCTTACATGCGGTTCGTGAGTTTGGTGTTCTACAGTAGCTGTGCCTGCATCTCTGGAAAGGGGGACGATCGCCTAAACGGTTTTAACCCCTTGTGTGCTGAAACGGTCCGTTACAGAAAGCATTCGGCTACACTGTGGATCTGACATCGACTTGGAAGGAGAGGCCACCAGCACCGAGGGAGCCCGGCGCTGGATTAAGGTAAGTGGCTGAAGGGGTTTTAACCCCTTCAGCTATGAGGTAGGGGGGCACTCCAAGAGCCTATAGTGCCAGGAAAATGGGTTTGTTTTCTTGGCACTATAGGTTCCCTTTAAATGTGTGCCCTGACCTGCCTATGACCTGTATCAAAGTTGGTGAATCCATTACCAACACAAACTAAAACTAACTTGTTTCATTGTTATACGCACAATATGTAATCCTGGGTACATACATATGATGTATTCAAAAGTTTAAATTAAAGTTCACGTTACTTACAGTAGTAATGCCACTGTCTGAAGTCTCCGCTCGCTCACTCCCTCTGCAAACTGCAATCTCAGGTAGGTAAGGTTTCACACCTTACGTGTGGCTGCACTGTAAACGGTCTACAGTCTCCGGTAAGTAAGGCTCCTCTTTACCTGCTTGCTCTGCTCCCCTCTACTTACTCTGCTCCTTCTTAATTCAAGTTACTTGCTTTGCTCCCCTCTACTTGCTCAGCCACCCCTTACTTTTTCATTCCCCCCTTATATGCTCAGCCTCAGGCCCCCCCCTTACTTGCTCAGCATCAGCCCCCCTCCTTATATGCTCAGCTCGCCGCCCCTTATATGATAGGACCCTTATATGCTCAGCTCCCTCTTATATATGCACAGGACCCCCTCTTATATGCACAGGGACCCCCACTCTTATAAGCCAGGACCCCAGCTTTTATGCTCAGGACCCCCAGCCTCTTATATAAGGACCCCAGGCTCTTGTGACCCCACCCTACCCCTCTTATATGCTCAGGACCCCTCTTATATGCTCAGGACCCCACCCCCTCTTATATGCTCAGGACCCCCCTCTTATATGCTCAGGACCTCCCTCCCCTATATGCTCAGGACCTCCCTCCCCCCCCTCCCTATATGCTCAGCCAGGACCCCCTTTTATGCTCATCCCCCTTAAATGCTCAGGACCCCTCCCTTAAATGCCTCCCGCTTATATGCTCAGTCAGGACCCCCCTTATATGCTCACCCCCATCCATCTTATATGCTCAGGACCCCCTCATTCCTTGTCCTTACTTACTGTGCTGTTTTCTCCTCAGTGCTGTCTCAGTGTCTCTCTCTGCTCACTGCTTCCCTGCTTTGCTCCTTGTTTTGATTTTCTTTCTTCTTGCTCTTCTTCTTATGCTCTGCGCGGTGTGGCCACACGTACGCCGCAATGTGCGCTCACGCTCCGCTTCCTCCCTCCCTCTCCATGATGGGATGTCTGAACTTCTCCTGACCCTGAGGTCAGGTCACACTGTGGGTGGCACCAGACAGTCTGACTCTGGCAGACACGAGCCGCCGGAATTACGAAAACATTACCAGGGAAGTTCTGACAGAGAGGTGAGACTCTCCCTCGCGGCTGTCAGAACTTTCCTGATAATACAAACAGCCAGCGCCGCGCTGGCTGACTCAGCCAGGCAGACAGCAGCTTGGCAATTATTTTCCAGTTAAGCTCCTGAGACATAAGTTTAATTTAAATTGGGGGGGCCATAGCCCCCCCCATGCGACGCCACTGCATATAGTACCCCAGGAATGAAAATTACCCCCATGATGGCATACCATTTGCAATAGTAGACAACCCAGGGTATTGCAAATGGGGTATGTCCAATCTTTTTTTAGTAGCCACTTAGTCACAAACACTGGCCAAAATTGGCGTTTGTAACGGACCGTTTTGCACACAAGGGGTAAAAAACGTTTAGGCGATCGTCCCCTTTCCAGAGATGCAGACACAGCTACTGTAGAACACCAAACTCCCGAACCGCCAATAAGGGAATGCTCCAAACTCCCGAACGGCATCCAATATAGCACTCCAAACACACGAACAGGAACCATACGAATTGCTGCTAGCAGACGAATAGGAAAAGCATCCAAGCAGCTTACACTCCTAGCAATCAGTCTCTATCAGCATTCAGTAAATCCCCCCAAAGACGAGACAAGGCTCCGTGTTGAGGGTCAAGCAGTGGTCTGTTTAATGAGGGCTACCTGCCCAGTTTTTATGCAGGTCTCCCACCTGGTGGACACTCCCCTAGGGGACCAAATGGGAGAATGTGACAAGGGACAGACAAGCAGACAAATAGGACACACAGTCACATTATATTCCCACAATGCATCCTGGCTTCCTCCCCTCTGCCCTCGAGATAATTGAGAAGTAATTCAATTATTTCCCAAGACAAAGGCAAATCGCCATCATGCATGTGGGGATACTAAAACAGGAATTACTATTAAAATACACCATGTAGGACATGTTACATTAAAACTATACATTTAAAATGTCCCCAGATAGCTCAGGTCTGAGCGCACATTATTAAGCGAATGGCGCTCAGACCACACGAATACAGTGTAATCGCCATGGAGCCAAAGTCTTTACACAGTCAGTTCTCATGCGAATGGGCTCCATGGGATTCCTATCTGGGGTATAACATATTCAAGTAAAACTACCGAACACCGGGCCGTTCGTGCACTTTCACCGAACAAGAAGGGGAGGTCGGCGGCTTCAGCGGTTTTTCCACAAAACTGTGTCCGATTTTAGTTCCATGAATTAAGCGAACACCGCTGTACGTTTGCATGTTTAAAATGGTGTTCGTGATACGAATGGCGGCCACCCAGCATTCGCCAATTAAGCTGCGGTTAACCGCAGCCTCAGGGAGGCTAATTGCCGGCACACTCCAGCTCCCAGGTGGTCTAGCCATTCGTGCAGTTGTTCGGTAGATTGAATCTACCAAACACCAGGCAGAAAAGCACGAATAAGTCTTTTCTTCAGGAAAAAAAAGATGTATTTTAACATGGGGCCATAGTCCAAAGGCAGCAGGCGAGCAACCAGGCTTCTCCAATGCAATGTCGTCACAGCGTTCAAATACATTTTTTGCATTTTCAAATATTAACACTAACTTTGTCCAGTGTTTGTGACCAAGTGGCTACTAAAAAAGACTGGACATACCCCACTTGCAATACCTTGGGTTGTCTACTTTTGCAAATGGTATGCCATCATGGGGATAATTCTTATTCCTGGGCTACCATACCATATGGTCTCAAAGGCAACGTAAACAATCTGGCGAATTTCAATGTGAAAAAACAGAAAAATGTAACATGCTATATTTGACCCTGTAACTTCCCAAAACCCCATAAAACCTGCACATAGGGGGTACTGTTTTACACGTGAGACATCGCTGAATACAAATACGTGTATTTTATTGCAGTAAAAGCAAACGGTATTATGACATTCACAGTTAGAATGTCACGTAGAACTAGGAAAAATTTTATAAAAATCTTTTCTCCAATTTTTTTTTAATATTTTGTTCATATTAAATTATGTTCCATAACTAAATATTTGATGTTAAATGAAAGCCCTGTTTCCCCTGAATAAAATGATATATAATAAGTGTGGGTGCATTTAATATGAAAGAGGTGAATTACGGTTGGACAGACATAGCGCAAATGCCAGGTTTTGTTTACGTTTTGTTTTGATCACAACTTGCACATTTGGCTGCGGTCTTAAGGGGTTAAAGACGAAGTACACAGTTTACATTTACAAGCTTCATTCTAAACATTTGTTATATTTGCATATGCCCATAACAACACAATTTTCTACTTTGTTTTTCATAAAGGTGCACACACTGGATTATTAAGACATGAGTATGTTAAATGATTTATTTTCTGATATCACCACCATATTTGCACTTCTCTTCTAATATAGTGCTCCACTGTGTATTGTTTTGTGTGTGGAATTGGACATACAGGGTGGTAGCTGCTGAATATTGATAAATGTATTTAGAGTTATATCTGCACATTGAATATAGTAGTTATTATATTTTTGGACACAGCCATCGCGCAGGAAGCCGGCGCTAATGAAAGTGGATTGTTTTATCTGTACAGTTTTTAATGACTGCGGTTTTCTTTGTCACAGGCACATGTGTATGGTAATGCGCGGCGTTCAGAAAATGAACAGCAAAACCGTAACAAGCACCATGTTGGGCGTCTTCAGAGAAGACCCCAAAACCAGAGAAGAGTTCCTAACCCTCATTAAGAACTGAATTGCTGGTGTCGGCTGTAGAGATTGCTGCTCAATAGATCCGTCTGTCATGTAACTGCTTCTGTCATATATCCAAACTGGCGTTTCTCAAGATGAAGGATTATAATGAGAATATTTTAAGGGCGATATTTATTTGGCCACAGTTTCATGTGTTCGTGATTGCGGATGAAGGGTGGATGTGTGTAATAGGAATGAAATACAGACACGATAGAAAACTGGATTGTTTCAGAGCGACCGACCTTCTTTGTGGATTAAATATCAGTCTGTGTGTGTCTATCGTCAAATTGTTGGACATTAGTTTAATATATTGTGTGCGGTTTATATGTTCTGTGTAACGTGATGTCCCGTGAACACGGCCAGCTACATGTTATCATATAATCTTTATGGAGTAAAATGGGGGCCCCCACATATCCCCCTTGGACCTGACATGTTTAACGTCTCATCGATATCAATATTTACTGAAGATGCAGTAGTAAAATAATTTAGAGTGTGTGTTCCTAAAAAACCTGGCTTTTATAAAAGAGAATAAATCCTGTACGTTTTATTTTAATAAACTGATTCAAGTTCACATTAAATATAAACAAATCAATATTATTTTTTCACGTTAATGCATTATTTCAAACTTTATGTATGTTTTGTTTTTTTGTCTGGACTTTACAGAACGGCCCTAATGTTTAGCAAGCTTATCTTTCTTGCAGTGTTAAGCTCTCTTCTGGTACTCAAGGGATAAATTCTGCAATTGCTTTACATGAAATATATTGACCTGCGCAGTGCAATATGTTTGGGTACTGAATGAAACGTGGAGAATTTCTGCATTGCCTGGCAATCTAGCATTGGATTATGCATACCAGAGCATGGCCCCATGGGAAACTGGGCAAGTGCCACCACATATTGTGGGGCGCAAAACTGAGCATTATGGGAGGAAGCAGATTAATTCAACAGCCTCGTCTATAATTAATTTTACATTTGTCATTAACATCAAGCTCTAAAGAATTATATCCAATGACAGCACTCACATTTATACGACAAGTTCAGTCTAATATGGCGATGCACACAGATCTCCCTGTCACAGCGAGGCTCACTAAATTACATCACATGGATATTTGATTATGTAGATTTTTAGAGTTTAGCTAAATTGTCTTTATCTAAAGGTTTCAGCTGTTTTATTATGTTGGTCTAAATATGTATTATTCTCCCATAGCGCCTCTACAATACCCACTTCAGTGAATAACCGGGTTATATACGAACACGGGAATTGTGAATGAAATAGCAGAAATGTAACTGTTTTCATTATGCCTGTAGTTTGGCTGCTCTGGTCTTAACTTTGATATGCACTGTCATCTGTTACTTTACATATAATACTGGGGAATTTAATAATGGTTAATTTCCGTAGCAAAACTCTGTGAAAGGGACATTACAGTCACTAGAACAACTACAGCCAGGGGCGTACCTAGAGCATTTGGCACCCGGGGCGGATCCTGTGCTTGGCACCCCCCCCCCAAAAAAAAAAAACCTGTAAAATTTTTTAAAGGTTCTCTTTTTTTTTCTTACAATTTGTAAAGACTCCTGTCCCAATACAAAACCCCCGCCCCCTTCTACAAAATCCCTGCAGCCCCACACACACATTTACAGACAGTCACACACTCAGTTACAGGCAGACAGTCACATACAGTCACAGGCAGACAGTCACACATACACATTTCCTCCGTGCGGCCAGTTTATCAGCTGTTTGCTTGTGTGAGTTGTACTGGCCGCACGGCACCCTAACTACCATGGGACACTGTGCGGCCACAGCTCACACAGCCCCCTCCAGCCAGGGCCGGTGCAAGGATTTTTGGTTACTCTAGGCAAAAAAGTAAA